AGACCGTAGAAAACCCAAGGGCCATACTTCAAAACCCTTTAAAGAAGGCCATAAACCCTAATAAGCCCTAAGCCCTAAACCCTAAACCATGGGCCATATTAGCGGACCATGCAACTACGATGACCTGCGTCGTCCAACTCACAGGATGCCCTCGGAAGTGCAACACACAAGAGGCGCTGATCTCAGCTGGAAGAGGTTTGGTTTCATGGCTTTTGTTGCGGGAATCTTCGCGGGCTTAGGGTTCCTAAACCTCAAACCCTAAACCCTAAACCCTAAACCCTAAGGGGTGTATGGGGCTTAGGGATGCAATAGGCATTAGGTGCTTTGCGATTGCATGGAGCACGGCAGGTTCAGGAAAATTCACAATCTTGGGTACCTGCAGAACCTCACAAGCCCGAACAGCCAAAGCTTTTTTGAACCCGAGAACCTAAGGACAATTGACTTTCCACCCGACGTCTTTTTAAAGTTTAGGCTCGGAATTCAGGACTGCGCGGGCTTCCTTTCTGAAAGTTGAGGCTTTAAGGCTTACGGTCTAAGGTTTTCTATGTCCCTTTCGCGTCTTTGCTGGCTGAGCTAGTACACCTGTCTGATCTGGCTACCATGTGGCGTAAGCCCTAAACCACGAAGCGCCAATTGAGCCAGGAGGCCCGTGGGCCTGACAACCGTCTTCGTCAACATGGCTCTGCCGGCCCCTTACGTACTGTGCTTGGGGGTTCCGAGCTTCTTACCTGGCCACAGGATTGATTATACATACATGGCTTAATCAGTGGTATACACAAGGGTTATATGGAGATGGAACCCCTGACTGAGCTGCATTCATCACGACGAGCGCGCGCAGTGCCTCTGAAGTTTGCAACTTCGTTGCGCCACGGAAATCGCCATGCAATGAGACATGTGGAACGTGTTCTGCATGCCACTGCTGCACGCTGCTTGCTGCAGCTCAGTAAAGGCGCAGGGCACGTGACGTTAACAAACTGTCAGCACTAACCCTAAACCCAGTACCTAAACCCTAACCCCTAAACCTAAACCCGAAACCTAAACCCTAAACCCAGTATTGTAACCCCCAAAAGCCTTCTCGACTCTATCCACAGCCCTCTGATGAGCAAAGGCCCTGGGCAGCATTCGGCCTGGTCTTCTGGGAGCCTCCGCTGCATTCGGTCCTGGGGGGTGTAGGGTTCAGGGTTTAGGGTTTAGGGCCGTTTAGGGTTTAGGGTTTAGGGTTTAGGGTTTAGGGTTTAGGGTTTAGGGTTTAGGGTTTAGGGTTTAGGGTTTAGGGTTTAGGGTTTAGGGTTTAGGGTTTAGGGTTTAGGTGGCTTTTGGGTAAGGGTTTAGGTCCTGGATATTTTGGGCTATGTTGGAAGACCCCTCCCCCCCACCTCCCCTCGCCCCCCCTGTTTATAAGCAATGTAAATGCTTATGAGCAAGATGTTGCGTGACCAACAATATTTCCAATAACTCTTTCCAATCAATAATCAAGATGGAGTACGCAGATTACTTACCAAGCGAAAGACATCACCCTTCTGTTCGGATTTGGCTAAAGTCCAGGAGGACGTTCAAGGCCGCCCTTTGTCACAGTCCTTTCCCAGTTTTGCCAGAAAAACCAGGCGTTATATCCATAGTGGAGTTCTCAAGAAGCCAAGAAGCCTCAAGGCAGCCCCTCCCACAAGCTCCCACATTCTCCGAAACCATCAGGGCTTCACTTCGAAAGCTATTGTTTTCCGTTGCCCACCCTTGGTAAGGAGTTGTTATGTGCTGCACGCCCGGGTCTCGTTTGAGTTGTCTCAGGGAATCCCCAAAAAGAATCTGACAGACTCCCCTGGAACACGCCTCAGGGAATCCCGCCCCCTGAAGTCCCGCAATAAATCCGGCAGAGTTAGGAGCCGGAGGTCTAGGGGTTTAAAGGGTTTAATTGGGCTTTGGGGTTCCCGAGAGTCACAGCCCAGGCGCTGTCGTTTCATTTGCGCTTCGACCAGCCGGGCTTGGCCGCTAGCTGAGCATCTAAGTGGGGGATTATGAGGTTCTGGGTTTCGAGAGTTGGGTTCTATTGTGGGGTTTTGGGGTTGGGGTTTAGGGTTTAGGGTTTAGGGTCACCGATCCGGGGAGTGGTTGGTGCAAGAAGATTTAACCTGTTATTCCTTGGCTATTGGAGAGGTAAGTATAACCATCGAGCCCTAAACGCCAAACCCTAAACCTTAAACCCTAAACCCTAAACCCTAAACCCTAAACCCTAAACCTTCTGAGAACCACAGTACACCTTCTGAGGGGGGAGCGCCGTGCTGTTTGCGCTTGGTGGCTTTGGGGCTTGTTGACCAGCGCTTTGGGGTTTCGGCTCATGGGGCTTCTCGGGGTTTAGGTTTTGGGGTTGAGGAAAGGTGTTAGGGTTTAGGGTTTAGGGATTAGGGTTTAGGGTTAGTGGTTAGTGCCTTGTGCAAGGGGGCCTTTGTTGAGCCTGCCAGCTCTAGTGTGCTTGGGGGCGCAGAGTTTCAATGGTTCAGGTTTTAGGGGCTCGGGCTTAGGGTTAGGATTTAGTGGTGGCTATGTTCTTCGGGTCTCCCGAACCCCTTAGAAGCTCACCCCAAACCTTAAACCATAAGCACCGCATGGGGTGCACGTATCCGGCGGCTAGAGCACCTTGAACCCTAAACCCTAAACCCTAAGCCCTAAGCCCTAAACCCTAATCCCTCAACCCTAAACCCTAAACCCTAAACCCTAAACCCTAAACCCTAAACCCTAAACCCTAAATCAAACTTCCGAAGGTTCCGCGCAACCCAGCCGCAAGCACCTCAGCCATTCAAGGGCCTTGAAGCCCCAGTTGCCTCAACCCAAAATCCCGAACCTAAACCCTTCACCGTTCATCCCCGTTCACCCTTTTCCCAAGCCCTAAACCCTAAACCCTAATAACCCTAAACCCTAAACCCCACAGAGGGGAGGTTTCTGCAGAGGCCTTCCTTTTGGCTGGCCTCTTCCTTGGCACCGGAATCGCTGCAGGAGTTCTTGCCGAGACCTCGGGTGAAGGTTTGGGGTTTAGGGTTTAGGGTTTAGGGCTTGGGGCTTGGGGCTTAGGGTTTAGGGTTTAGGGCTTGGGGCTTAGGTTCTTGGATGTAGGAGGTTAAGGAAGCAGGGTTTGAAGATCTAGGGTTTGGGGTCTAGGGCTCAAGGGTTTGGGGTTTAGGGTTGAGGGATTTAGGGGTTTAGGCAGGGTGAGTTCAGGATGGAGGTTTTACTGCGGGGAGGGCACTGGTTGGTGGTAGTGGCCCGGTGTGGTGGAGATTGCAGAAGGATTTTCTCTAGGATGTAGGATGCATACAGTTTAGGCTTCGAGGTGGTTGGGCTGTTAGGGCACGGGTCCCGAGCTTGAGCCTATAGGGCTTGTAGGGCTTATAAGGCTTGCAGGGCTTCTGCTTGTGGGGCTTATGGGCTAATGGGGCTTATAGGGCTTAAAGGGCTTGCAGGGCTTGCAGGGCTTCGGGTCTAGGGATTAGGGTTTAGTGAACCCGAGCCGAAGGGGGAGCAATTGTATACGTGCTGTCCGTAAGCCGACTACAAGCCTGGGCCTGTGCCTTCATTTAAGGGCTCAAGGTTTAGGGTTTAGGGGTTAGGGTTCAGGGTTTAGGGCTTAGGGGTTGAGGGCTGACCTTAACTTTCCCTCCTTTTCCAGAAGAAAGCTTACTTCAAGGTACTTCGCACAAGTGCTATTACCAGGGGCAGGGGGTTACTGTAGAAGAGGGGGTCCCTAAACCCTAAACCCTAAACCCTAAAATCTAAACTGTAAACCCTAAACCCTAAGCCCTCAGCCCTAAACCCTAAACCCCGTGACTCCTCAAGCACTTCTGATCCCCCTTGACCTTCACATGCTTGATGTTGCCAATTTCCGACTCGGGATTTGGGGCCTCAGGGCTTCGAAAACCCTAGAAACCCTAAACCGTTAAACCGTTAAACCGTTAAACCCTAAACCCTAAACCCTATATAAACCCCACAGAGTTTTCGCCAAGCTGAGGCCTGGCAGTGGGGCGAGCGACGCCTGTCAGGACCTCGGTTGTTTTTTGGACAACTTGGGAGGGCGGTTTAGGGTTTAGGGTTCAGGGTTTAGGGTTCAGGGGCGACCTCCTGACGAATAGCTTTGCAACAGGGCTCCTGGTCACTAGTCGCAGCTCTTGCCTTAAGGCCAACAACTATCTTCCTCCCAACATGCGACATGAGATCATAGATCTACAATGTGTGGGGGATCTGAGTGTCGACGGAGCACCCCAAAGGCTTTCGGGCTTTGGGCTCCAAATCCGAGCTGCTCTTGCTCCAAAAGCGTCCTCTCCTGTTAATCTGTGAGCGATGGGGAAGAGAGCTTCTTCTAAATCAGGGGCTCAACGGTGACCCTGAATCCTATAAAGCAAAAAGCCCTAAACCCTAAAAAGCCCTAAACCCTAAACCCTAAACCCTAAACCCTAAACCCGAACTCCTATAAAGCAAAAAACCCAAGAGGGCCGAGGCCTGGATTGTTCTGCGTTGTAAAGCGCATCGGCCAGCTTGGACTGGGCTCCCTTTACACGACCGGCTGTCTAACATAGGGGTCGGAATAATTGCTAGTAGCATTCCCTTAGGGTCCCTCTGTAATTATACTAGAATAACCCCCCAAAACCCTATTCTAACTTTTCAGGCTCCTATATTAGAGTCCTCCATCCTTCTGGTTATGATGCTTCTGCCCGAGGCGTTCGGCGTACTGGCGTCTTGGCTGAGACTTGGGGCAGTCTTCGGGCCCCTCAGGCTAGCGATTTGTTTTGAACGTTGCTTCTAGTCGGTTCAACTTAAACAGGTATTGAAAGTCGCACATGTATGTGTTATGGCTGCCCTGCTTACGAATGTAGGTTTGGACTGAGGATCGGAACTTGCTTTGGCATTTCTGCAGACTGTGCCGGACACAACTAGGGGTGACAAAGTCCGGCAAAAGTCCGGCAAAGACGGAGGTAGCGGTCAGGTCACCGCCCTCTCTAGAAAGTCCCTTCAGCATGAAATCTTCGAACGTGTTTCCGACGTTTCATGAACCTAATATAAGGGTTGGAATCATTGCAAACAATATTGCCTTAGGGTCCCTTTGAAATGATACCATACTAACCCCCAAAACCCTATTCCAATTCTTCAGGCCCCTATATTACTGGATCGCAGTCCATGTCACCATGGAGTTGTGGACAGATGTTTCTGAAGTTCGTCTCCAGATCTGGGACCAGAGCTTGCCTTTTGGATGGCTTCACGACGTGCACCGTGTGCTGCGTTGCGTTGCCCTGAACCCTAAACCCTAAACCCTAAACCCTAAACCCTAAACCCTAAACCCTAAACCGCAGTGAAGATGGGGGGGTTGCCATCCTTGGCTTTTGCTGCGCGCTGAAGCACACCATTTCGATGTTAGGTATCACTACTTCGCCATGGCCATGGTGGTTTCAGCTGGGCGCTCAAAGTACTTTGGGGTTTAGGGTTTGGGGTTTCGGGTTTCGGGTTTAGGGTTTAGGGTTTAGGGTTTAGTTACCCTTCCATTTTGTTCAGAGTTTAGGGTTAAGATGGGTGAGTTTTCAGGGTTTAGGGTTGAGGTTTTGTCGGTTTAGGACGCAGGGCCCAGCAGAGTTAGGAGAAGAGGCCGAGGAAGGGCACCTTCTCTTAGTTAGACCATACGAGACATAGCGACATCCTCTCTACCTACTCTTACGTGTAGGCTTTGTCAAGAGCCAAAAAACCACATCTTATAATCATGCAGTATACCACCATATAACAATGGAATGATACAATATCAAAAAGCTGCGGCGCAGAGACCTTCACGGCTCAGCTGTCCCAAACCCCAAACCCGAAGGCCCAAGCCTGAAACCCTCCGCCAGGTGGCTGTGGCGAGCATCCTTGGATACCTGAACTACGAGCACCCTCATGATGAGGGTTAGGGTTTAGGGTTTAGGGTTCAGGGTTTAGGGTTCAGGGTTCAGGGTTCAGGGTTTGGCCAGGTTCGGTGGGCTTCCCAGAAACCGGAGACGCTCTACCCTGAACCCTTCCACGAGGGCTTCTCGGGAAGTTTGGCAGTTTAGGGTATGGGATGGTGTGTGTTTGGGCACATGTTGGGTCCTCATTGTCTGGACTTCAGGGGATTATTGGGGTTTAGGGTTTAGGGTTTAGGGTTTAGGGTTTAGGGTTTAGGGTTTAGGGTTTAGGGTTTAGGGAAACCCACAACTAACCTAAACGCCGAGCAGCATTTCAAGCCGATGCCCCTAAAGCGGCCCCGAGCCCTCAAAGCCCTGAACCCTACCATTTTTCAGGTTTGGGGGCCACTCAGCCCTAAACCCTAAACCCTAAACCCGAAACCCTAAACCCTAAACCCTAAACCCTAAACCCTAAACCCTAACCCGAAACCCTAAACCCGAAACCCTGAACCCTAAAGAGGTACAACATGCGCAAGTCCTACACCCTGGCATCGGAGTTGAAGTTTTACAAGGAGGCCCTGGTGAAAGGGGGGCGGGGTTTAGGGTTTAGGGTTTAGGGTTTAGGGTTTAGGGTTTAGGGTTTAGGGTTTAGGGTTTAGGGTTTAGGGTTTAGGGTTTAGGGTTTAGGGCTCCTCGCTTTGGTTTTTTTGTGTTTAAAGCTTTCGGGTGTGGTCTAGTGACCGGGGCTTTAAGCTTTCAGGGCAGCTCTGATGCCGAAACCCCGTCCCTAAAGACGCAGAGCAGCACTGTTAAAGTCTCTCAAGCAGCTTCAAAGATCTACGCCGCCCTAGGAGCACCCCAGACGCCCAAAATTCAGAGCCCTAAACCCTCAACCGAAACCCCAAACCCTAAACCCTAAACCCTCAACCCTAAACCCTAAACCCTAAACCCCACCATGCAGAGGTCAACGTGGGACAGGTGAAGGGCCAGCAGCTGATGGATGCAGGGAACCAAGTGCTTGCAGGGGGTTCTCAAAGCTACTGGGACCCGGAGTAGGTCCTTGTTCCCCTTTCTTTAGGGTTTAGGGTTTAGGGTTTAGGGTTTAGGGTTTAGGGTTTAGGGTTTAGGGTTTAGGGCATAGGGCAACTAGCACCCAGAGTAGGCCCTTCTTCCCCCCTTTTGTTTGTTTGGGGGTGTGCTCTTGTGCCAGTGAAGCGCGCAGACCCCAAAAACTCTAAGCCCTCATCCCTGACCCCCTCACACCCTAACAAACTAGCACCCCCAAGCTCTGCCCCAAACCCTAAACCCGGAACCCTAAACCTCTGGCCACTTGGGGACATGCAGATGAGATCGAAAGCCATTACCTTTCAACCCCTGAACACCGGCATGTTTGGTGCTTCGCGTACAGGGATTAGGGTGTAGGGTTCCGGCTTTAGGCTTTAGGGTTTAGGATTTGTTGGGGCTTTAGTGTCCTAAAACCCTCAGCCTGAAACCTTTAGTGCTCATGCATGGTTTAGGGTTCAGGGTTTTGGGCCTTGGGAACCGGACGCAACTTCCGTCCGTACATTCCTCTGCCACCCCTACTAAACCCTAAACCCTATACATGCCTAAGCACCATTCAAAGCCTCCAAGCCCTAAAACACTAAACCTTGGGATGCTCCGTCTTATACTAACAGTCCTTAGTAGGGATTTTTTTTTTGGGGGGGGGTCCTAAAATCCCTATTCAGGACTGTTCGTATAAGGGGGAACGTCCCAGACTAAACCCTCAAAACCCTAAACCCTAAGCCCCAAACCGAAGGCCGGGTCCGTGACCTTCAGCAAGGAGAGTGGCCTTGATTTTGGCAAGGCCATGGGCGCCGTGCTCAGAAGGAAGCAGGGCTTGCGGCTACCTCTCAAGGGACGAGCTTTCGAAGGGTGTTAGCATGTGGGGATAGAAGAATCCCTACGCGTTTCCGATTCGCGTTTGAGATCATGTGATCTGAGGACGCATTTTTGCCTAAAGCCTAAACTTTAAACCCTAAACCCTAAACCCTAAACCCTAAACCCTACACAAAGTAGCACTCTGGCTTCCTAGGCTTCCGGGATGGCGACACCTACTGCGTCGCGCCGATCACCAACGGAGATGCTCCGTGGATGCATTCTCGCGCCAACGGGGAGGAGGGGGGGGGGGGGGGGGGGGGGGGGGGGGGGAAGGGCGCTAGGGTTTAGGGTTGAGGGTTTCGGTCTTAGGTTCGGGGTTTAGGGTTTAGGGTTTAGGGTTTAGTTGTTACGGGACACACTAAACACCCTGAACCTTGGGGGCCATTCATTCCCAGACCTTCTGCCCCCTCCCTGCTGGGCATCAGTCGTTCGAGGCCCGTGATGCGAAGCCCTGAGTTGAACTTCAGGGTTCCTGCAAAGCTTTAGGCTCTTGGGGTCTTAATGCTTAGGGTTTAGGGTTTAGGGTTTAGGGTTTAGGGCAGAAACCGAGATTCGATCCAAATCTCGATACGGGCTCAGGAGCGTCTTGAACGGGCTTACCCTTATTGGGTTCCTTTCAAAGGATTATGGTCTTTTGGGGCAATTTTAGGGGTACCCTTGTTTTGAGAAATACCCACATCGACGCATCATCGAGCAAACCCTGATCCCGAGACCAGAAAGCCGAGGCGAATCTCCTGGTCTACGACTTCTGGGCCATAGGCCGGGAGAGATGCGTTGCCTCGTGTTCAGGAGCATGCGCCTTAAACCCCAAACCCGAAACTCAACCCGCAACCATCGACCGTGGCCCCCTCCAGAGCGGGTCTTTGTGGGTTTTGGGGTTTGGGGGTTTAGGGGTTAGGGGTTTAGGGGTTTGAGGGTTTATAAGGATTTACGGGGATTAAGGTCTTGTGGCTGCGTAGAATGTGGTTCCCTCACCCTGCCGAGAGTGTCTCACTTCGGTTTAGGGTCTGGCACCTAAACCCCTAAACCCCTAAACCCCTAAACCCCTAAACCGCATGAGGGCCCAAAGCCATGCTCACAAATCCGTTGCCATCTCGGCTCTCGTTTTGGGACCATCTCCTGGCTCGTAGCCAAGATGTCCATGCTATCCGAGACTGCCACTTGCTCGCACGCTTCAAGGATTTAGGGTTCAGGGTTTAGGGCTTAGGGGGTTGAGGATTTAGGGTTTAGGGCCTAAACTTTAGGGTTAGGTTCAGAGTTCAGGGTCTGGGGACTGTTTCGGTGTACTACTGGAGAGGCCATGGCTTTTGCAATCGGGGGTCTTTTGCCAGCAGGACCCCAGGTGTCTGCACAGCCAGGTCTGGCGTTTGTCCCCCGATCGCCACCCAGAAAAGTTCTCCAGGCCCTAAACCCTAAACCCTAAACCCTAACCCTAAACCCTAAACCCTGAACCCTTCATTTGCTGCAACTTCGCCCAACTCAAGAAGGGAAATCATGGGGCTCCCCCAAGGCAGGAAGATCTCATGTCACCGGATCGCCTGTGAAGGAGGGCGAGTTTGAATCAACCCCTCGATCGATTTAATGGGCCTCCAGGGCGTGCGGCGTGCTGCACAAGGGACGAAACGACATTCTTAACAAGGACAGCAGTACAGGCAATCATCATGACAATACGAACGAAATCACATGTTGTCGTACAGATACTTGCCATACATATAGTTGTCATGCATATAACTGTCATTCATGCCATACGAACGACAAGAACATTCATGACAGCATGCACTTTCAGGTTCCTTCTTTGCGTAAGCTGAGTGGTCCTAAACCCTAAACCCTAAACCCTAAATCCCAGGGCACGGACAAAGGAATCCAAGCACGCAAACCCTGAAGCCCTAAAGCGCGAAAGCCGAGACTACTTAGCTACTCAAGCTGGGCGTCGGCATGGAAGCGATTTCGTAATCAGTTCAGGGGTTTAGGGTTTAGGGTTTAGGGTTTAGGGTTTAGGGTTTAGGGTTTAGGGTTTAGGGTTTAGGGTTTAGGGTTTAGGGTTTAGGGTTTAGGGTTTAGGGTTTAGGGCTCCGGGCTCGGGGTAATTCGAGGATGTGAGGTTCCAGGTTTGGGGTCTAAGGTCGGCTGTAGGGCAATTCCAAATTATTTGGGGCTTCGATTAGGGTTTAGGGTTTAGGGTTTAGGGTTTAGGGTTTAGGGTTTAGGGTTCAGGGTTTAGGGCCTATAAACGAGGTGGTGAGGTTCAAGTCGTTAAGTCCCGATCCCCGAGGAACCGAAACTATGGCCATCGTGACCCTGTATGGCGTTGTGCCTTGGCTAAGAGACACTGGGAGTTCCCCCCCCCCCTTCCCCCCCCCCCCCCCCCCCCCCCCCCCCCTAAGTTGCGCCCTTAGATTTGGCAACCAAGAGTAATTAGTAGGTGGGTGCATCCTACAAATCCCGCAGCACCTAGTTAGCACATCATTGTCGGTTCAGGGATAGAGTTGCCTGGCCCAGGACGATCACTGCCCTAACCCTCTTCAGGGGCCTGGCCACCCAAACACGGCCTTTCCACGGGCCCAGGCATACAACTGAACAGCAACGCACAAGAAAATCTCTGAAGGCCCCAAACTCCAACCCCAAAGCAGATGAAGTCGTCAAACCCAAATAACCCTAAACCCCAAAGAGCCCTAAACCCCAAAAACCCTAAACCCTAAACCCCAACGAGCCCTAAACCCTAAACCCTGAACCCTAAACCCTAACCCCCAAACCCTAGACCCAAACCCCAAGCCCTAAACCCTAAACCCTAAACCCCAACCCTAAACCCTACACCCTAAACCCCAAACCGGGTTTGTTGGCCCAAACCCTAAACCTTAAACCCCAAACCCTCAACTCGGGTGCCCAGCTCGTCCCCTCTTGGACCTTCGGCGTGTTCCTCTGCGTGCTGTCCAATGCGCTGACGGCCCTGGGACTGGTTACACAAAAGCTGCCTGGGCGAGGTTTAGGGTTTAGGGTTTAGGGTTTAGGGATTAGGGTGTAGTGTTGAGGGTTTACGATTTAGGGCTTACGAAGTTGTGCTTTGGGATATTTGTTTAATTTCCTTTCTATTCCTCATAAGGGCACCTAATCACAAATAGTGCTCAAAGGCCTTAAAGCACAGGGTGCTTTGGCTTGAGGAGTGGTAAGTCACACCCAGCTCATGCTGAGTTTAGGGGTTTAGGGTTTAGGGGTTTAGGATTTAGGGTTTAGGGTTCTTAGCAGCTTAATCTTTTAGTACTTCAGGACAGCATCCGGGTCGTCTGAGAATCTTTCTTCGGCGCATAGGTCCCACCCGGGTTGATCCAGACAGTATCCTTCGGACGCAAGTCCCTGGAAGAGGGGGGGGGGGGGGGGGGGGGAGGGGGGGGGGGGGGGGAGGGGGGCGTGGTCTGATACCTGTGACGAGTCGTTGCAATTGCAGTGTCCCCTATGATGACCCGCTCTATTAGACCGCGGATCACTACTATGTGCTTAAGAACGAAGCATAATCATGCCGATAGTGCCCTTGTAATACGGAAGTTGTTTTTTGAGGGGGGGAGCTCTTAAGCAGATAGTAGCTCATAAGGGAGAAGCAACCCTCACGCCTGTAAATCTCGAACACAAGATTGCCCTGCAGCTTGAGAACTTTAAACCAGGGGCCTCGAGTTTAGGGTTTGGGGTTGAAGGTTTAGGGTATAGGGTTTAGGGAACATGTCCGTTGGCCAAGAGTGCTCACCGCAACGCTACATCGGGCTGAGGGAAGCCCATTGAACCTTAAACCCTGAACCCTGAACCCTAAACCCACAACCCCCACTTGTAGACCCCGAACCTCCGGGCCGAACAATCTCGATGCCAATGTTCAGGGCGTAGGCAGCCCTTTCCCCATATTTGGAGTCTTACTTGCTAGTTCTGATTAGGGACATGTGGAAATCGGTACCGTTTGCTAGTTTGGGCTCTCTGGGCGAACCGAATTCCCGGACATGTGGAAATCGGTACCGTTTGCTAGTTTGGGCTCTCTGGGCGAACCGAATTCCCAAGTTCCCTGAAAAAGAGCCAGCCTTATGTGGAAGAAGTCTTTATCTGCAAGACTTTGGGGGCTTGCCCCCCTTTTTTGCGTAAAAGTCTGTTGGCTGGTCAAGGTCAGCCCCGTCATCCTCGACCCCCTGTTTCAGGATGCCCCAAGCCCTAAACCCGACCCCCACCGCCCCTCCCACCATAATAAACCCTAAACCCTAAACCCTAAACCCTAAACCCCACAAGCACCTCAGAGTCTCTCAGGCTGGCCCATTTGAAAAATGAGCAGAGTGGCATCTCGGGCGTGCATTTCGGACACCTCTGAAAGTTAGAGTCCTGCTTGAGGGCCTTGTTATAAGCATGCCGTGTTCTAGAAGCGAAGGGACCCTAGTTTAGGGAACTACCCATACAGGGGCCCATGTAGGTCAGGATGGGTAATTTTGGGAGTGTTTCCTACTCGCGTGATTTTGGGGGGTTATCAGGGCACACTGTTGGTACTTGGGCTCTTTGGGTTGTTTAAGTTCAGTGGAGCTCCGGCCCGCCAGATTTTAGGGCTTAGGGTTTAGGGAATAGGCTGGGGTTTAGGGTTTAGGGTTTCGGTCGCTACGGTAATCATCGGTCAGATCAAAGCGAAGACGACATGCGCGCAGTAGTTCCTGTAGTGTGTTCGTGATTTTTAGTTGCAACTGCAAGTGTCTGCTTCAGTGTGCCGTTCACTTGATGCCAGCTTCTTCGCGGAAATGAGTTGACAACTTCCACGTCTCTGCACATACGTTTTCCTTCAGCAGATGGTAGTCGCAACCCTAAACCCCAAACCCTAAACCCTAAACCCCAAACCCCAAAACCCAACTGGCAACAAGAGAGCATTTCTTATGCTGTGGGTTCTCGCAGCCTGCCAGGTAAGGCCCGCTCGTACTTCAAGCAACCCTGGTGGCTGGCAGGCTCCTTTGGGGTTTAGGGTTTAGGGTTTAATATAATCGTCGGAATAATTGCCAATCGTCTTCCCTTATGGTTTCTGTATCAATAACACTCTGATAACCCCCCAAAAGACTCTATTCCAGTCATTCAGGCCCCTATACAAGGCGTTTGTGGCTTCAGGGGAGACTCGGATGGCTTTGGGACGCAATTCGGGGCTTCGGATGCTCGACCAGTTACTAGGTGTTAGTAGGGGTTTAGGAATTCGGAGTACAAGGCGAATATGAAACATGCTGAACGCAGGATCGTCACTTCGGTCCTACTCAACTCTAACATTCTGATACATTCAGGCTACCCTCACCTGCAAGCAAAAGGCTTAAACAGAACACACCTCCACAAGCTTTGAGCAGCACAAGGTCTTCCAACTCCCTGGGAAAAACCCCGCCGCTCGCCAAGGGATGGCCGCGTTTCTCGTCGGCCAGGCGGCAAATATTCCTGCCATGGCGTCGCCCCGGCCATAATTCCACAGGTTTAGGGTTTAGGGTTTAGGGTTTAGGGTTTAGGGTTTAGGGTTTAGGGTTTAGGGTTTAGGGTTTAGGGGGCTTCTGACAAAAGCCCAAGATGGACTTCCCCCACGCCCAAAGCTCCCATCATCCCTAGACCCTAGACCCCCCAAACCCTAAACCCTAAATCCTAAACCCTAAACCCTAAACCCTAACCCCTAAACCCTAAACCCTACACCCTAAACCCTAAACCCTAAAGCCGCATTGGTTGTGGTCATGATCAGGGGCACTCAGCATCGTAGGGGCTTGGGCGCAGTTCGGTTCAAGGTTTCCGGCAATATCCGTAAACCATCGCAGGGGCATCGGCATCACTGAACGTTGATGAAGCAGCTCTGGAACCCTCACCCCTTAACCCTGAACCCTACAAAAGCTGTCCGGCCAAATGCTCCAAAGCTTGAGCAGCCAAGCTCTAAGGGGGGGACAATCGTGTTGGGAATTCGGTGACTGAACAGCACCCTAAACCCTAAACCCTAAAACCTAAACCCTAAACCCTAAACCCTAAAACCGAAACCCTAAACCCTCAGAAAAAAATCACTACAAACCGGAAAAAGTGTTTTTCAACTTCCTGGGCCGTGCCAGGCTGACGCCTCAGACCATGCTTAGTTGCCTTGGCGGGCTTTCTCTTGTGACACTGGCCCGTTTACTGCCTTCTGTTTATTTTGTTTTGTTTGTTTTTTTGTTGGGGGGGGGGGGGGAATAATTTTCTTTTTTTTTTGTTGGGGGGGGGGGGGGGGGGGGGTTGGGGGGGGTGTTGGGAAATAAGCACTTGGGTTTCTGTTGTTGCCGGATTGGAGAAGGGCGCGCCTGAGAGTGCGCAGTAGATCGTCTCCCTAAGGGGAAGAAAAAGTTCAACATCCCCCTAAACCCTAAACCCTCAAACCTACCCACAGTTTCCGAGGCTTCGATTTCGTAGATCGCTCATTCTGAATATGACACAACAAGGTGTGGCTGTTCAAACTAATAGTCTCGTTTTTTTGTTCCCTTTTTTTTTTGTGTGTGTGTGTGTGTTTTTTTTTTTGGGGGGGGGGTTCCCCAATTTATACGCAGCCTTG